ATATTATATTTCATCCTCTTATTCTTCATTAACGAATTAAATATAGCTCTGATAGGGGGTGAACGATTTATAAAAGGAGGGAATACCTGCTACGAAGCAAAATAAAAATTTATTTTTAAGGACATTTTTTTTTAATTAAACAATCTTTAGAAATATTTGATTGGATTTCGGTTATTGCCTGGAAGCTATTTATTTTCTATTAATAATATCCGAACAAAAATGAATTTTAAATTAACACAGATCGATATATCAAATGATGAATTATCTATCGTTTTATCCCGTATATAAAGGCAGCATTCATTATTATCAAAGTTTTGTTCTCGGTAGCGTTGAGTTATCGAAATGTGAATGAATGGCAGAAATCAATCATAAAACGATAGCAACGACATATCGATTCACGAGTATAGAAAAGCCGCATATATTTTATATTTTTATTATATACAATGAGGATTACTCCGAATGATTTCTCATTTATCGAGAAGAGGAGGAGGAGGAGGGAGGTGAGGAGAAAAAAAAGGAAGAAAAGATGAATCACTTCAGGCGTGATTCGTGAAGAATATTGTTTAAGTATAAAAGTGTTATTTATTGTTATTGATTTACATCGTGTTTTTCTACAAACTTTCTAAAGTTGTTTAGCATTTCCTTTAAAATTTCCACCGTGTATTTCGCGAAAGTGGTGGTTATTGTTGGAATTTTCAGAATGATTTACGATTGAATCTTGTCATCAACCGTATTGCGGCAAAGTTCGCCACCCACGCAACATTCTGCTATTGGATAAACGAAGATAAACAGTAACTGACGAAAGTCAAGGTCGAAAAAGTTATGAAGAAGCGAAAGAAACTTGTAAAAAAAAAAATTACTAAAATTAAAGCCAGCAGTGAATTTTATCTACACACACGACACATAAGAAGCCTTAAATATAATAAATTTAAAGGCTTTAATAGCCTCATAGTAACAGGCCTTAAGTGTGTGAGACGTTGAACTGTAACTAATTTATTACAGTAGTTCAGCTTATATACAAATTTGATTCTAATCCTATATATTTATGTGGGTTTATTCTATTCAATACTTAAAGTTTAGTTATAATAATAATCTTCTATTCTACTCACGTGTAAAGTATTACTATAGAGAATTTAAAATATGAATTAGAAAATGAGAGATTTTAATTTATTAAATTAAATCATTAATATATTTGTNCAGAATTAATTAATATTTAAAGAAGAAAAAAAATAGAGTTGTTTTAATTTACAATAAATTAATGAGTCCTATACGTTTCGGAATTCAATTAAGATAAACTCTAAAGACCATTATTGAAAACTAAATTAATTAGGTGAAATCCCTGTAAAGCTACAGACAATTTAAAAGGTAACTTATCAAATGGTTCAAATTTTCTCATCTTGTAAATTTAAATGATAATTTTCGAATTTGGCAATTTAAATGCGATTTTAATTTTAAAATATATTTTAAAGAATAATTAAACAAAACTCTCTTTAAATTCTATTTAAGATTCAAAGCACGAAAATGAATCCAATTATATAATTAATGATGTTTCTAATTTCTAATTAATAAATATAAAGCATTTTCTATTATGTGACTAATGATGATGTTATAGTTATATTATACCGAATAGATACAAATTTATTCGAGTGCCTCGTTAATTTCAACCTTTATAAACCATTCCGAAAGATATTAACGTAGATTCAAATGAGTTTAAATGCTTATTCGCATGTAATTTGTGTTTGATTCTTTCAAATTTTGCTGAAAAAAAAATCTATAAAAATTAACAAAATAATTTTTAAAAATTACACAGAAAAATACAGATTTAAATTAAAATATTAGTGAATTTAATAGAAAGTAAGACAAGATTACGATGTAATTTTACACTATTTCTTTTTGAAATTACAAGGAAAACGTTCTCACAAATACAGAGAGGCCTGGATCATTAGGATCGTATTCTCCCCTTACACACAAACACAAATTAAACAAGCTAAAGCTGAATCCTTTCGATAGAAGAGTAAGAGACCTCACGATTTTCAATTTATTGTTATTTTATAGACAAGAAAAAGGCCTATTACACACGTTATAACTTAGGGCCTGAACGAGTCTAAATGCGACGTGTGTTTTTGGGGCCTTTATAATTATTGAAATTATTTTAACCTCGTTTTTAATTTTTATTATACATTTAAAGTAATAAAAAATTCATAAAAACAATTAAGAGATTTGCTCTTAATACATAAGAAATGCAATAGAATTAATCATTTGAAATCTTACTTTTGAAGCCATGTTGGTTTCCCCCTTTGCTCTAATATTAATTTTGTATAATTTTAATTAATTTCTTTATATTATTTAACTACTTTAATGATAAATATAACCTAAAAAGGTATATTTAAGATTAGGAGACGAAAACATTATTTAAATCTTTTATAAATTTATATGGACAACACCGTCTTATAAACTTAGAAATTTTTAAAGTTGTTTTTAAACTCGGTTAAAATCTATAATATATAATTATGAAAACGAAAACTTTCTTTTTTTCTTCCCCCCCTCTTATTTATTCAACAAGTGACGCATATTGGTTAAATAATCGGATATTGCTACAGCTATATTAACTACATACCACGTGATCAAATGACGTCCGAAGATGGGGTCGTCGCCTATAGCAACGGCAATCCAACAACTCGCTTTGAATTAAGTCGGTTTATCCGTACATGTAAAGACGAAAATATTATCATTATTATATTATAGATTATCTTTAACATTCTAAAAATTTATATATATATAAAAAAGAGGGAACACTACTTTACAAATGACATGTTATTTAAAACAGGAAACGAATTTAATAATTAAGGAAAATACGACTGATATATTTCATGAAAAATCGATTATTTTACTGTATTTTATTTATTTAAAATGAAAAGAAAATAGAAATTTATTCAATAATAGAAAAAGTTATAGGAGCAAATATAGAACATGTGACTAGTGACATTTAGGTCTTTTTTTTTTTCTTTTATAAAGGTGAATTGCATCATTGATTACTTGGTATTCTTTATTGTCAAACTTTTAATTATTTAAATACTACTTATCATCCAGATAATTAAATATTAAAATATCAACAAAAAGATGATGTATGGCTGTCCATTAATTGTGTGTACAGTTTTTGAGCCACTTTTGACTCCATCCCTTCCTGTTATGTACTGAACAATAATGTATTTTTAGCAAACCCTTCCCCTATAATTACATATACAATAGTTCATGAACTCCCAATATTGAAGAAATGACTTAGTTTTGCAAATATTTTTTAATTGACAGTCTGTTCATGTGACTATTAAGTNTACAAATGTATATCCTTTCGAAAAAAAAAATAATAAATCGTTTTATATCATGTATTAACCTATAATTGCGACAAAGCGTGACATAGCAGATTCATTTCGTATATCGACATAGATATTCTTTTATGAATGCTTGTATTGATGAGACCTGAATCAGGAAGAAACGATACAACGATTATAGAACTTCGTATTATTAGATAAAATTTGTTGGTTAAATGTTCTATCGTATTCATATATGCATTCTATTACTGTTCGTTCTAATACAAGGTAAGTATTTCCCTATTTAAAAAAAAAAGGTGACTAGAAAACTAGACAAATTATTACAAATATTGCATAAATATATTATAGGTTACATAATTATATATAAATATAACATACCATCGCTGGTAGATTATATTTATGTAATTATGTAATCTATAATACCTGTAATGCTTATATATAAGGTATAGGGATATAGGGACTAGAAAAATTATTTTATATTTTAAAAATTAGCTTAATAAGTTATATATATATATATATAGAGATTGTCTAAGTTATGTGACAAATGACAGAATTAGGGCTATATGTTTGAAAAGTCTCGTTTTATTTATCTTCTATTGTTATGTATTGTTATGTATTATGTGTTGTTGTATTGTAGCATTTAATGTATAGAAAAAAAAACACTCCCCCATTANTGATGTTCTGAGCTGACTTATAAGAGAAGAGAAAGAGGTAACTATATTTGTATGAAGAGAAGTACTAATTCTCATTATGAAGAGAAAAGTGGATATTAATAAAGTGCGAAGAGAGCTATATAAATTGAAATGACATATATCACTTTAATTATTCACCGTACTAATCGCTTTGACCAATGAATGTTACCGCCCTGTCTAGTCTGGCATAAGAAACATCATTTTTGGTTCATAGATCAATAGGAAACCACGCTTTGTAATAATGAGTCGTAATTATCGGTCCATCATTCTGTCAGGCGTATCTACGATACCAAATGCCAAGAGAATACTACCTGCTGAATTTCATCACTCCAAAAGTTAAGTGAGTTTAAGGTATCTGAATCTCTACCATTATTCTTAACACATTACAAAAAATCCAGCTACGAGTTGCGTAACTTTTCCGGCTAAACTTTAAAATTGTTTGTGCCGACATCTTTTATGATATTTAAAAAAAAAAACACTTTTTTAATTTTTATTTTTAGGTATAAAATGTTATATCAGGTGTCAAAATCCTGTACCTTATTCTGGGAATATATGGCTTAGTGTAACGTGTTCTAGGAATGCTGTTGGCCTCTTACGAAGATTGTGTTCTTCTCTTAGAAGCCGTTCCACTACAGAATGGAAAAAAGGACAACACGTGAGTATAAAAAGTGCTTTTTTTTTTGAAGCACTTTAGTGAATTATGAAATCTAGTTTTTCCCGATTCGCGTATAAAAAAATAGGGAAAAGATATAAATAAGAAGTTTTTTCTAAGTTAGCTGATTCATTTTTAATAAAATTTCAATAAAAAGACCCCCTTTTTATTTATTTATAAATAGCAAATTCGATAATTCGATTTTATAATTTAAAATTGGTTAAGAATTAATAATTCATAAATCCCTATATTAAAAATTTAATTTTTAATATTATAATATATTAGTTAATAAATTCCTTAACTCTAGAATGTAGAATAATTATAAATATTGAAAACAATACCCGTTATAAGGATTATTTCCTTATTAAACAGCATAAATTTGATTAAAATGCTTGGGGTATTTCAATAGATATTAATTAATTAACGTGATTTTTTTTTTAATTTTTACTTTCCCTGCTGTTATATATAACAGAGGATCAAAAAATGACCCCTTAGTTTTGGACTTAGGATACCTTGAAAAATATTAAACTGCAGTAAGTAATAAATTATTTATGGATTTCTTCATCACTAAAATCTTAATAATACTCATAATAGTAGTAAACAACACCATTTTATGATATATTTGGCTTCTAGAACGACTTTAAAAGCTTTGGTAATTATTATCTATTATTCAGTAGGAGTGTAAAACAATGTTTTTTTTTTTTAAGTAGAGTGAAATATTTCATACACCCACACACATTTATAAATGTCTTTTATAGGTTATAATATTATAATAAATAATACTTTCAACTATATAATGTTACACAGAGCTATAAAACATTTAACAGCACAGAACTATGTAATAAAACATAGATACAGATATAGAGAAAGTATAAAGTGTCATGTAGTTATAATAGTAGTAAAGCAAGGTTATATTATATGTATGTATGTATAAATATGTACTGTACATAATATATACAATAGACCTCACTTTACGACTATTATTATGAATTATGACTATACTATTAATAATATTAAATAATAAAAATAATATATAATGTTAAATTTAGTAAATATTTACTTTTAATGTGTGCTTATGTATATTTACTTCATATATAAAATGTATAAAGTAAATATTTATGAAAATGTAAATACTGAATTATACGACAAAGTGTAGTGTTTACTGACAATTAACGAACTTTTCTTTAACTATTTGAGTAAAAATATTTATAACTATAAATATAACCACGTGTGATACATGAATATAAATATGATCACGGGCATTTGAGAAGAAGAAAGTATGGTTGACAATTCAAGATCTTTGATCAAAGGTCTTGCAATGTAACTGTCTCATAGTCATCAGTTAATGTACGATGCTTCAGTAATCAATGTGATAGATCAATAATTAATAATGTAGGGTGATTCAATAAAGGTTGCAAGATTTATTTTGTTAATAAAAACTTCATTTTATCTCGGAAATTAATTTTTATTAGACCAATGTAATCCTAAGGGATAAGTAATTAGGAGTGGAAGATAATATTGTGAAAATGGCCGTCTTTACTTTTCTTGCAAACTATTAATCTTTTGGTGACATTTATTTTGAGATACTGAGCTCTATTTCGTCTTGAGGATGTTGTTTTTCGGGTGTTTCGTAGTTTCTGGATTGTCGGCGTACAAACACTTTCTTTTTCACGTAGTCCAAAGAAAGAAGTTCAACAGTGAATGGTGAACGATGTGGTGACACGATCACTAACTTTTTATGGCCAGAACTCGATGATATTGACACGTGGTTCCTGAAGGATGGTGGCAACATGTCATACAGAGCGTGAAACTTTGCACTTTCTGCAACTGGCCTACCAGATCTTGCGACTTTGACTTGACATGATATTGTCTTCCATTCCTAATTTCTCATTTCGCAGGATTACATTGGCGAAATAAAAATTGAATTTCGAGATAAAATAAAGTTTTTATTAACAAAACAAATCCTTCAACTCTTACTGAATCACCTTGTACAATCTATAAATAGAAACATAAAAAAAACTGAAATATTCTTATTAAATAAACTGTTTATCTGGGAGGCAGTAACTAAAACCGCTACGAAACAAACTAGAATATATGAAGGAAAGTGAAAGATAATCGGCTTATCAATTGATGTTCTGAGCTGACTTATAAGAGAAGAGAAAGAGGTAACTATATTTGTATGAAGAGAAGTACTAATTCTTATTATGAAGAGAAAAGTGGATATTAATAAAGTGCGAAGAGAGCTATATAAATTGAAATGACATATATCACTTTAATTATTCACCGTACTAATCGCTTTGACCAATGAATGTTACCGCCCTGTCTAGTCTGGCATAAGAAACATCATTTTTGGTTCATAGATCAATAGGAAACCACGCTTTGTAATAATGAGTCGTAATTATCGGTCCATCATTCTGTCAGGCGTATCTACGATACCAAATGCCAAGAGAATACTACCTGCTGAATTTCATCACTCCAAAAGTTAAGTGAGTTTAAGGTATCTGAATCTCTACCATTATTCTTAACACATTACAAAAAATCCAGCTACGAGTTGCGTAACTTTTCCGGCTAAACTTTAAAATTGTTTGTGCCGACATCTTTTATGATATTTAAAAAAAATTATATTATTAATTATTATAAAACGGAAAAAAAACTTAATTTTGAGGGTACAAATGAGGTTTTTAAAAACTTGTAAGTCCGATCCCACTCGAGATATGACAAGTGACTCCCCTCTATCTCCTTACCTTCTTGACCTTTAACCATTAAAATTTAATAGCATTAATGCTCCTAATACACAAATCTCTTTGCAAAATTTCAGAAGATTTCGACAAAAAACATAGGCATTATTAAGCTTCAAATTGGGTTAACATAATCATGTCCACCCACACAGAAAACCCTCCAAATTTTTTAGAATCTATTGTAGTATGAATGAATATTCATACTACAATAGAGTCAATTATGCAATACAAATGTTAGATTAATAGAGTATCGTAATTAACTATAAATTCAATTAAGTTTATTGACTCTAGATGAAATAATAGAGAATAGAGTTAATTGAAATGGGTATCGGTTTACTATAACGATCGTCTTATTGTTTGTTTTATTATATAAAGAAAAGTACCAGATATATATGTGTATGTGTAACATATTCCTTTGTTATTTATTATAAATATATCGTAACTTATATGTGTACATACCTAATATATACTAGAATTAAATTACACTCTTCTTTTATCTGATACAAAAAATTTCAGACAGGACATCATAAGATCAATAGACCCACTTATTTATAAACACTATTAAGATTGATTACTGTGTTGCCTAGTTTTGTGTTGTAATAATATTAAGTTACGTGCTTCATATAATGAGAAAAAGTAAAAATAACATACCAAGTTATTGAATTTATTATATTTTTCATTTATTTTTATAACTATTAAGATAAATAAATTACAGAACTAGTTTTTAGTATCCCGGAACAATAGGGAAACGAACTCGTATTTACTTCTTTATTGTTTCAGGTAATAATAAAGCATAAAGTTTCTCAAGACGTATAGAGATATTAGCGAAGATTATGACTTAGTGATGAGTTCTATTGTTATTAATCTCGATCAGATTAGAAATATAAATGTACTGAAGGTACGAGTTTAATGAGTCTATTCAATGAGTTAATATTACATGACATTCTCAACACCTCAGAATTGCTACTGGCATAATTCGAAACTAGGCACTCTCAAGCATATAATTATAGTAAGATATTATACATGTCATAAAATTTAATAGAAACAATCCTTCTAATACACAAACCTCCCTACAAAATTTTTCGACAAAAGGTACTGGAGTTATTAAGCTTCAAATTGTGTGAATAAAATCGTGTCCCCATATAAATGCTTTGCAACCGATGTGGCGATTTTATTATTGTATTTATTTGTATGTACGTCATTTTATGCCTTTATTGTTTATATTTTTTGCGTGTTATTTTTCGCATTGTTTATGTATTTCTTTTAATATTGAACACCCGTTATTAATGGAAGCATTACTCGTCAATATAACATAACCATACGTAATTATAGAGAGTAAACTTTCAAGTTTTTTCAATAAATCAGACATTCCAATAACAATTCGATCGATATAGAAGTAATTACTTTTTCATACAATTGTATGCAAGTTTTATTTAATGAATAAAATAAAATTGTAATGAATAATTTAATTTTATTCTTCAAAGCATAACGAATAGTAATTAATGCTACTAGTGAAGGACAGAAAATAACTATCCTATACTTTTATATTACGGCATTTACAAGGATTCTTAATGTTAAATACTGCTGTTCAGAAGTATTTGATTACACGCTATTTTCTATATCCCAATAGATCTGGAATGTCATCGAAGAAATGAATAAGTATCAATGGTTGTTTACTACTGTACGTTTTATGAACTGTTCCTAATATCTAAAGAATAGCAACAGGGTGTAATGAATTACAAAGCAATTGCCTCTATATTTTCATATATAATACGTGAATTATACTTTCCGCTACAAGATAATATATATATATATATTACTTATTTAATATAAATAAAAAAAGAGAAATCAATATATTTTGTAGCTTGCTTTTGAAACTGTATCATAATGCATACAGTATATTGATCGAGCCATCGTGCAGGAAAATAGAGAGGGTGAGTCGAAGAATAATTTCCTTTTATATATTTGTGAAGTGTTTATAATAGTTGAAGTATAATACACAAAACATTTTAAAAAATTCGATATTTTATTGTATACAGAAGAATTCCTGTCAAAAAATACTATTATATAAAACTAAAATGAATAAGAGAGGGTGAACAGCCATCTCACTAAGGGAGCCAGCAAGAGCATTTGGCCCCCAGCAAATAGGCCCCCAGCAAGAGCATAGGCCCCAACAAATAGGTCCCCAGCAAGAGCAACCGAAATAGGCCCCCAGCAAGAGCATTTGGCCGGAGCCAAATGCTCTTGCTGGGGGCCTATTTCGGTTTATACAGGTTTTACCGTGTTAATAATTTCGTTATTGATCTATTAATCAAATAAAATTCATTAATAATTAATAAATTGTATATCTTTTATATTCCATTCAGAACTTTTCACTCATTAGCATAATGTTATGTAAACTACTTTTTTTTTTGTATTTAAATTATAATGATGTAAAATAATTATTTATTATACGAAAGTTAATAATAATTTCTCTTAATTAATTACTTTACTTAATCCATCAATGTCATAATAATTTGCATACATGAAATATCGGATTTCTATCTTATAATTCCATGTTTCTCTAAGAAGTTGAAATCCTTTAATTAATATTAAAACAGATTTACATGTTTTGATATTTATTAAACTTGAATCATTTAGTAATAATTTCATGCGTTAACAGAATTAATAATAAAGAAAATTTACTGACATTTTACGTGCCAGATTATATAATAATTACGGTAAAACTTGTGTAAAACGGAATATTTTTTTCCGGTTTGACAGGTTTCCGTTTTGAATGTGTATTTTTTTTTTTTAAACCCAAAAAATCACCGAAGAGTTTTGTCCGTTTATACAGGTTTTCACTTTATTCAGCTCCGTTTTAGACAGGTTTTACTATAGTTGCATTCTCGATTGTAATAAAATAATAAAAGAAAATCCTTGTACTCCGATTAAAAAGTTTATTGTTGATTTTTACTTCAATATCTATAGTAGAAAATCATTTTATTTCGAGTGTCGCCTGTTTTTGATGAAGGATAGATGAAGAAGAAGTTAAAAGAATCTTCAGTTTCTTAAAAACTATTAAACATTTATTGCTGTCCACGTATGTTACAATACGTTTTTCCTCTTATTTGTCATTTCCTTTCTTTTTCCTTGTCTCTATATTTTATTTAAACAAACTTTCTCAAAGAAATTTAAGTTGAACGTGTTTATTCATATACATTTATCACTTTATACTCTAGAAATACTAATAAATTTTCAAGGAAATTTCACACGATCCGACTATCAAGAGACTTGTGAACCTCAAAACTCGTGAAATTCGTATGAATGAAATGCTTTCAAATAACAAAACATTAAAAAAACGTCTCCAATAATTAACAAAAGGTTACGATTTTGAAATCTTTTGTAAATTTAAGTGTTTATTTTGTTTCCAAAATACCCAATTCCTCCTCCTGCCATGTGAAATCCTTTATCACGTTCACGTTTATTAGGCTATATAAAACAGAGGGAAAGTATGGTTTATCGTTGGTGATTTCTTTTTACAAAATAAATAAGTAAATTTACTTCAAACTTGAATTAAGGATATATTAAGCATGAAAACGTGCTAATTTTATATATTTAATCTTAGCTACGGCTCTTAAATAGGTACAGATATTACCAACAACTACAACATCAATAAGCAATCTAAATTGTTACGGTAATTCGGAGGAGTTTTTCCCGTTTATGCAAGTTTCCGCTTTATTCAGGTTCCGTTTTGGACAGGTTTTTCTATAATTATTATATATGCTACGGTTAAATCGATAAATCTGATGAATATGCATAATCACCGGGTATTGTATATAGTTTTGATTGCGATAAATTATTCAAGCTTTTGTAAAATTAATCACATTAACTTGTTATTATGAACAATAACTAGCATCCTCTGATTAAAATAATAAATCTGCAAGTTGAACCTGTCTCAGTCGTACAGTTAAATGAGATGAGGAAGATGAGATAGGATGGAGGGCAATTCAGTGGAGAATCTTATTACTAATAAGATCAACAATATTAAGAAAGAGAGAGAGAAGATGCCAAAAGTGCATTGCAGGCTCAAGCAAAGATGAGACAGACATCATTAAACTGCGAGTTCCTGATGTAGACAGAAGAAGGGGTAACTCCAGGAACATTCTAGGGGTCATTCTGCGGGTGATGCTGATGGAGAGATTTGGCACTGCGAAGGGCCGATTGGCTGAAAGTATTCGAGGCATAAGTTTGTCATTTGTCAAGTGACTTTCGTTTTACAAGAGAAAGTAGTACAATAGCGTCGGGAACTTCTCCCGATGCTATTGTATCGCTTGGCGAGTGTGCCAGAAAATCGTGGTAAAGGGTACAAGAGATGCACCTGCGAAGGAAAATGCCTTTTGACAAAATATGAATACAAATGCATGGAATATGCTGTAATTCGAAATGTCACGACAGTTTTGCCTGTTCCAACAAGTATTTTAAAAATGTCAACAATAAAAATATCGCATACTTTATAATTTATCACTTCAGCATTGCAATTATTAACACGCAAACTAAAGGCGAATTTAGTGTCAAATGCTATTCCTAAGGAGAAGTTAGAGGATGCCAATTGTTTAATTGAATGTTAAAGTTCAAGTATGGAGGGGAATAAGTGAAAGAAAATAATATTCTCACAGATTGTTGAAAAAGAAAATAAAGGAAAACGAAAAATATTAGTTACAAACGTTGGTAGAAACAATTGAAAGTTAACTAATACCAGGAAAAACTGTTATGTTTATCTTAATCTCAGGAAGAGCCACAAGAACGGAATGGTCTTATCTGGTTATTGCAACAATTTTAAGGCAATTAGTACGGAAAAAAACAAATTAATTATAATGAAACATGGTTTAAATTAGAATTACTTTCTGAGATACTATATACATTTTTTATTGATTGACGCATTACAATTTAGTACCAATTCCAAAGGCAAACGAGTGAAGGCGCTAATTCAAAGTTTAATGAAATATTAAAAATCCAGCAATGTTAAATTTACCGACAATAAAAGAGTAAAATCTTCATTAATTAAGCTCTACCCCAGATACGACACATGATGACTCTCTCTATCTCCCCATTCCTCCCATTCCTTCGACCTTTAACTAAAAATTTAACAGTATAAATCCTCCTAATACACAAACCTTCCTTGAAAATTTCATAAATATTCGACAAAACGCACAGGAGTTATTAAGCTTCAAAATGGATGAATAAAATCGTGCCCACAAACAAAGAAAAACCATCAAATTTTTTTTTTACATTTCTGGACATTTAAACGTCTCCGAATCCAAAATTTAAAATCATTTTAAATAGATAATATAATAATAACTAATGTTTATTCGTGTCTAAATACTAGAAGACAAGTACAGTATTTGGTTCCAGTCCAAACACAGAACAGACACAAAATTGAATCTTCGAGTGAGGAAAAAAGATCTTAAAATAATAAAATAGCAATCATATTTATATATTTTCTTCTCTTTCGAATTGAAAATATCAAATAAACTATAAGATAAACTGATCCATTGTTTACAAAGACCTTCGTACCGTTTATACAGGTTTTCACTTTATTCAGCTCCGTTTTAGACAGGTTTTACTATAGTTGCATTCTCGATTGTAATAAAATAATAAAAGAAAATCCTTGTACTCCGATTAAAAAGTTTATTGTTGATTTTTACTTCAATATCTATAGTAGAAAATCATTTTATTTCGAGTGTCGCCTGTTTTTGATGAAGGATAGATGAAGAAGAAGTTAAAAGAATCTTCAGTTTCTTAAAAACTATTAANTAGTAGACTATGTGATTTGGAGGATCCAATGTGATTTTCTATTTTAATACATTTAATAATAGTATACGAAGCAAATTTATTGATATAAATAATAATTTTTCTCTGTAAAGAAAGTAAATTAAATCAAATGGTTTATTAGTTTATCCGAAATCCTGTTCGTTTAATATCCCATTGATATGCCACTAAGCATCTCATATAGTTAGACGTTTTTATCATTCTGTAGTAGACTATGTGATTTAGAGGATCCAATGTGATAATCTAATATTAGATTACATCCATTATTCAGTAGAATAAAATGGAAGAAAAGGAAAGAAAACAATCTTCATTTATGTTGGAAGTGTATGTGTGTGTGTTTTTTTTGTATTCTCGTCGCATTATATGTGTATATTTTTAATGAATTATCTTAAATTCTAATTATTTTTTAAATTAAGAAGAAATAAATTATTATAAACATTACTATTTAGGTGTTATCTGAATGTTTTAAGATTCCAATATGGACTGCAATTGCTACATTTCTTCGAGAAGATGGCCTCTATAAAGGTCACGCTGCTATTTTCGAATCTTGCGCTAATGATGGAATATGGGTGAGTTCTAATTTTCGTGTATTAATTTTAATACTATTTTTTTTTTTTTTGGAATAAATAACAGGTTAGAACCATGCCCTTGTTGACGAGTTTTAAAAGGTCTTCAGGAAGTTTTCTTCAATTTACAATTTAGTAATGAGATAATTTGCATATAGATTAATTGATCTTTCAATCATTACGAGATATTTCGAGTACTCTAGCTGAAATATACGAATGATTTTCACTTCTCAATATTAATTATCGCTTCTCGACACCTTAATTGATTTTAATTTATGATTTCAAATACTTCAAATCACTAAATTATGTTATGGTATGATATTCATAATAGCTAACGAGACATAAATTCGTCGGAAGAATGAATACATCGAGCTCAATAGTAAATTGTCAGGTAGATTAACCTTAAGTATTTCAAATGATTATAAAATAAAATATAATTTCTTTACGGAATTTTAAAGTATTTATATCTTATTTTAACACTATAAATAAAAGAATTAATATCTTCAAGATCTATCCATCTAATGTCTGTATGTCTGTTTGCTGTTTGCCTGTTCATTGTTGGATGTCCATTGTGATGTCATACGTTCGCTCTTTTTAGATTAATTGTGTCTGATTGATGTTTTATTATTTGTTAGTTCGTTTTATAGACTTTTTGCTTGTCTTGTTATTTTTATTCGTTCGCTTCCAAGTAGTCAAGTTGAAGAACACCTGTCTAGTTTACTAGATTTTTCTAGCTGTCTGTCGAGTATTCTGCGTATCATTTTTCTAACACAGTAAAAACCATCTTATTTATAGATTTTTATAAAGAGAAATGAGGAAGAATATGAGACAGGATGTCTTAATACGGTATTAGTATTATAGTAATATTATACAGTAGTGAGCAGAATAAATAATTCAAAGCTACCTTTATTGGTATTCTAAACATCATCGACGATTATTTCTTTGTTTTATTATTCTGGAGATCATTCAATTATTGAAATCATCAAAAACACTGTTTATTCGACTACGTCAGTCACTTACTAATCGAATAGTAAAGACTATAAAACATAGAAATAATTAAGAATAAAGTGTAATAAATCGTATAACTTTAAACATTTTTCAGATGTTGATGGAAACTTTGATTGATAAACAACAGCTAATGGTTATAGATTATACCTCAGTGTTTTTAGAACATAAACATTATCAACTTAAAATACAAGTTGAAAGTATTAGTGAAGATAGAAAATGGTACAATTTATAATCACGTATTATGTACTGTACCTGTTATGTTATATATTATATCATTAGTAAAGTTGACGTTTCAATATAAAATAAAGAAGGAAAATTATTATAGTACAATGTATTTTAAATAGGGGGATAGCTTAAACCTATCAACCTATTTCTCTTTGTTTAACATCGATGCTTTCTCATCGACCTAATGAGATTATTAAAGCAAAGATTTTTATTTTTTCTACTTGATAAATATACTAATTTTTTATTGATACTTGAATACTAATATAAATTTTTTCTTGTAATAGGTCTATGATCAAACTCCATCATCTAGAATGATGAGAAGAAAATTAAAACGTATTCAGTTATCAAGTCCACACTACAATGCCGATAACTTTTATACTATTAAATAGAGAATATTTTAAAGTATAAATGTTAATATAAATATTAAAATATATCAAAATTAAATTATTAAATATCTTGTTATCAAATATTTATTATATGTATCTATATTATGATATAATAAAAACAATATAGCAAACAATCCATCTAATTGAGACTGAAACTAATTCAAATAAACAGATTTAAATAAATTAGGCACTTAAATAAACTTTGTTTTTAAGTAAAACCTGTGTTATCTCTTATAAATTATTACATATTTAAAAAGAACCAGAGTTTCAAAGTAAAATCGATAAATGACACGATGATAAATGATGTAATAAAGATGATGATACAGTTTACAAAACAGTAACGACGGCAATTATAGTAGCGGAGGATAAGGCGCAGAGATGATTCAATATATAATTTAAAAAAGCAATAGAATATTGTTTACGATAATTTATATCATAATTAAAATGTTATATTTAAAATAATTATACTATTAATATTAATACCCGGTTTACATCTTAACGATAAAATTAAATTTAATATGCTGATTTTTCCAACGTCTTACAAAGCGTATAACACTTAATTAAACAATTATATTGTGTGATTTTTACAAGTAAAATTTATCAAAAATATATTTTATTTTATATTAATATCTTTTGGTATTTTCAGTCATTTTATTCGCTTTCACATTACCAGTTAATAATAATATTTTCTGTGTTAAACTACATTAATCTATTATGATTACTGATGTATATAAACTGAAGTTGATAAACAATAATAATTGCCGCAAACCATTCTGTTTGACACGTGACAACGAAAGCTGAGAATGTCGAAAGGATATTAATATACAGGGTGATCATAATTAAAGTTGTCCTATTCAGAAGACTCTGTGGTTCCAACCAATAAGCCGATTGACTCCAAAATTTGTGTATACGCTATTCAAAGAATGCGGTAAAGGATTTAGTAAATAAAAAGTTTATGGGGTAAAAGGTGCTGCGAGCAAAGAAATGTCATATGCGTAGCCTATTGAAATGCAGCCTAAAAATGCTGATTAGTGAATGCCATTCTTATCACCTACAGCTACAATGTTCATCACTATGCAGGGGTGTGCGTGTTTCTTTAAATGGCTGTGGAGTCATTCAAAGAATGATTTGTCTGTTGCCACATGGCAGACTTAAAGGATGCTGTGTTGCATGTACGGGTAACAGTTGATATATAAAACAATATTTAATTATATAAGTTTGTGTAATGAATGAACATAAAATAATATAAATTCCATCAAATAAACTAGTGATTTTATTATTATTTTTTTGGTTAAATCTAATAAATTATATGAAGATATAAAGGTTCGAAATCAAAGGAATTTAAATGAAAACAAAGAATTTAATTTTATAATGGGCGACATAGAAGACTTTTTCTTTTCTTTTTTTTTAATTAAGTAGAAAGCACTATGTTTAAATTTAATATTTATTTTTATATTCCGATAAAGAACCGAGTTGTTTGAATATTCTAAATATAACAAGAGCTATTGAATAAGTAAAATGCCTTAATGTATACGAAAACTTATACTTAAATAAATTAAATAAATTTTCTAAATTATCTCGAAAACTAATTGAAATAGTTGCATATTACTACGAGTGATTCAGTGGTCTTACTAAGTTGAAGCGAATGAATCACCAGTGTAGTTGTTCCAAACCAATTAACTGATTTTTGAGCCATTTTATATTGTTAGTTTTTAACTATGAAACTATTAAATAAAATTATATTTTGCTGTAGTATTTGAAAATTATAAGAAAAAAAAATGGTATATTTCAATTTAAAAGAAGCTGAAAACGTTATTGTTGAAACTTTCCTGGCATTTTTTATTTGTTTTCATCCCTAACAATTAATACCATTATCTTTATGTCTTCGGATTGATTCAGAGTTATGAAAGCCCTATTTCTCGAACCATTGGTCTAATTTTCCTGAAAATTTCTATAAACATTTGCTCCTAAAATGCAAGCCTCCCTGCAAAATTTTAGAAATTTTCGACAAAAGTCACAGGAATTATTAAGCTTCAAAGTGTAGATGAAAAATCGTGCCTCCAACACACACGTACACGCAGAGAAAACATCAACATTTTCTATATTTCTCGACGTTTTAAGCTTCTCTGAGTCCCAAAGATGTAAAATTCTTAGATTGGGGGGGAGATCATTTTTTAAACCGATCTCCATCCTCTCTCTCTCTTATAAATAACAACTGGGAGAGTAAAAATGAAATTCAGAATAAAAAATATTTTACAAAAGAAATAGAAAGAAATTCTCTTGACATTTTTTAAAATGATCTTATTATTATTTTTCTGCTCTTTTCAACGATGATTGTTATGAAGTTGAAGCTTTAAACTAGTCTCAAAACAGTGTAAATAGATAAAAAGAGGAATAAAATTAGTCACATTTATAGCTCTTATGTCAACTTTTTTTTCAATCCTTTTCTGTTGTTTGGTTTCATTTCTGGAAATTGAGAAGATATAAAATCTTTTCTTGATTAATTTGAACAATTAGAAGCACTACAACTAGTTATTATTCTCTCTTCGATCTATAACGTCATACCAACTCAATATCTGTACCTTCAAGATCGATCGAAAATGGCTACCGATCATTTTTCTAAAACCTTATCTTTTGAAAGATTTATTAAGTCTAAGGTTTCTTATAAACATTACATAAAAGATTCCAGTAGTTTAATTGTCGAAATTACAATCAAATTTTAATCATTATAATTAAGATTAATAAAGTGTCCATGTATTAAATGACGTATTGATATACTATCTTTATCTTTTTACTCCATTTTTAATAAGTTATTCCGTTTTATTTATAATTTAAAAACGTAAAATAATTTGTTTTATGACATATTTTATTGTTTAGCTATTGAATTTTTTTAATATCCTTACAAAATGATTCGTGCATGCTTTTATAAGTACGTTAATACAAATAATGCCCCTTCAAATAATCGAAAAATCATTATCTCAGATAAAATAAAAATTTATTATAATCAAAATAGTGAATTTTTTATATATATAAAATAAATATTACAGGTAAAAAGTCAATGGTATAAGTGCAAACATGTATGACCAGATAGAAAGGAAAAAATCACAGACAAAAAGACATAAAAGAAAAGAGTCTGCAACAAAAGAACAACGAGCATTCGATTGTCGACAAAAGGGAAGAATTGAAAAGACGTGGTTATAATTGTAAGTTAATTGAATGGGACAAAAGAATAAGGAATATAAGATGATGAAAAAACTCAGGATGAAAAAGAGTTAATCATTTCAACGTGAGCAGAGGAACGTTTAATAAGTTACTATATAATAAATTAATTTTTTGTAAATTTTTCACGTGTACAATTCGAACAATTATAAGATTATCTCATCGTCTTTATTAAAATATTCACTATATTCATTCATTATTTTATTTCATTTAATAGCTTCTTTTTTTATTTGCAATATTCGGGGCCACTTTAAAAGTGAAAACAAAGTGAAATTAGAAATAAAAGTCTAGTGAAAATAAATATATTTAAAATTACAACTGTCGAAGAAACTACAATTTTTTTTTTTACTATTTATTCTTTACTTTTCTATTAAGGAATAAACAATGAATTTAACATACAAATAGTTAAACTAAACCATAATAATTTTGTAAATATTGTGCACAGGAAATATTGATTAAATTCTAATGAAGATTTTGTATTGTAATGAAAAATTACGATCATGAATTAATAATAATGTAGACTTTATTATGATTATTTAAATATTAACTTCATGAAAACAAAACAGTAACACAACAACAACAAAGCAAATAAATTCTAAATTTAAAAATAATTAAACTTATTTACTGAAAATATCTGAGAATATATTTATAAAAAATTATTAAAAAAAAAATATAATATAATTTTTATAGAAGTTTGTTATTTCTTTCTTCTCATAATCTTCAGTTTTACACACAAATGCATATTAGAAAACAATACCTGTTAGCATGTCAGGTACGTTAAAATTGATTCTTTTTATTAAATAATTAATTATAAATAGGGTTTTAATACGAATCCTTTTATCAATATTTCGAACAGATTTTTTTTTAAATCAAAAATTACTAAATATTTACAGACATTTCTTAAATTGTAAGTGTTATTTACTATACACATATATTATATACAGTCGATCCCCCTATAACACTGTTGATTATTCCATTTTATATGAATTCCATGTTGTATGAGTCACTTAGATTTTACAAATACATGAGCTGTTCACAGCTCATGTATTAAAATCTAAGTGACTCATACAACATGGAATTCATATAAAATGGAATAATCAGTGGTGTTATAGGGGGGTCGACTGTACGTTTATATGCACCTCTACGTATGTTTGTGTATGTAGTTTATATATTAAAATGTATGTGCATAGTAAGCATTTGATCGTTTATAAAAATGGTACTAATACATAAGTAGTTTACACTAGATTATTCCAAATTTTGAATGAATTGAAGCATATAATATTATAATCCAGTTATAGGTACTGTACAGTGCTAAACTACATTAAATTTGAAAGTTTACTTTATCTTAATCATTGAAAATTATGAAAAATAAATTTCATATTACGTATTTAAAAACTTAAATCATTTATTATGCAAAACTAGAATAAACAACAGTGAAAAGGACATAGGTTAATTAATATTAATATATTTGCGTGATTGTAAAGTTTTAAATAATTTATGTAACTACTTGATACAGTATTTTGTATTACATATTTAAGAAAGAAAGATCCAGTATTATTAAAATCTCGTTGTAGAATTCATATCAATACTTTCTCTAACAAAGGAGAGGTTAGAGATACGTTCTTTGGATTTTAAACCATTAAAAACGTAAGTAAACTTATTAACTTTAACTCATTTAAAAGTATGTAAGAAAGATTATTTCAATTGTTATCTAGAAATAATATCAATTTTATATGTAATATTTAAAATAATAGAAATTTGAACTAAGATAATTAGTTCTTATTAAAGGCACTAGTAATGAGAGTTGATTTATTCTTTCTGTTTATATTTTTTACTTTTTTTTTTTCAAATTGACAATTTCATAAGATATTCTGTAAGAGAAAATTTATTTTATTATTAATCTTTACACTAAAAATAATTACTGTCAGCGAACGACAAGGCAAACCTTCTAAAAGCCGTAAACAAGAACTATACTATAAGTAGGTCTTTGGGGTAGATGGAATTTATGCTCATTTTCATGACGAAAAATGAAGTAAACATAATTAGAAATAAATCTGTTTAAGGAATATAATAAGAGCTAATTTTCTTATTCTTATTTTTTTAATAAAGAACTTCGTATTATAAAATATAATCGTTCTATTTGTCTGTATTCCTTTACCTCAATATATATAGGCCTATTTCATAAATCATGATGTAGCTTCTTCTCGTTTTGAATATAATAAATTTAAATTATAAAAATAACGTTAATATTTATATTTTAAAATATAAACATGTCTTTTCAGAAAAATTGATGATTTAATATTTTTAATGTTATAAGAAGAATAATATACGTATGTATTTTCTACATTTTTCATATGTTGTTGTTATATTAATTTGTGATAATCCTCTTCACAGTAAGTAATTTTTCAATTAAATTTTATTATTTAATTAAATTTAAAATTACCTTTTATATTAAATTTTCAATTATACTTAGAAAAACATTGGAATAATTTAATTTTAAATTATTTTAAATAATTTATATAAGAATTTATAAAGTCTTAAATCTCGAATTGTAACGTCAAATTACTATATATTATTCATATTACTATTACCATTAACTGCATAATTATTGGCTGCTTTCTTGTTTTTACTTTCCCTCCCTGCAATTATATATAATAGAGAGAAAGTATAACAACCGGACAAAAAATGGCCTCCCACCCAAGATTTTTACATTTGTGCATTCGGGTGACCTTTAAACGTCAAGAAATGCAAAAAAATTTGGGAAATTTTGTGTATATATGAATGTTAGTGTGTGTAGAGAGCGCAATGTTCTCACCCATTTTGAAGGTTAATAACTCACGTATCTTTTTCTGAAATTTTCTGAAATTTTATATGAAGGCTTGGGTATTAGGGAGAAATGTTTCTAGAAATTTTCAAGAAAATCGGACAATTAATTCGGGAGATATGGCCCCACCATCTTAACATCTCCCAAACCAATCTGGACTTAAAGGTAATGGTAGCAATTATTAGGAATGAAAATAAACAAAGAATGCTAAAAAAGTCCAGCAATAACATTTCAAGACTTTATTTAATAAATTTTATATCTTAAAATATTAATCTGTTTAAATGATTATCGATTGTGAGAACACTTATCATAATAATTTCTTATTGAATTCACAATTATATAGGCCTACATCATACTATAACCTTCTTCAGTTAAAATGAGTTAATACCTGGGTTAAATTATGCACTAAAACTATTTGTTTTACTTTGAAACAAAGAAAAATTATTCAATATCCATCATCTTCTCCAATTGATAAATTTTATTGATGTTAAAAATCGAATATTTGTACAGTTTGACGCGATAACAATTCATATAAGTAACTAGAAGACAAACATAAACTTTAAAATCTTTAAATTTATTTATTTTTTCACATCTCAAGAACAGAAGATTACACAGCAAAATTGACTCTCCTCTGTTGTGTGATTTTCTTTCTGGTTTTTAAAAAAAATTATACTGAAGTTACTGAAGGTTATAGTAACTTTACAAACAAGCGAAGAAGAACCAGTAAAAATCATGGACTCTTTTGTATGATCTGCATTCTTATAGTAAAAGTTTGTGCTTGTTTTCTAGTTACGAATATATTTTCGTAAAGTTTAGACCCGAGTTTTACTGTTTACTGTGATATAAATTCATAAAAGTTATAAAAAAAATGAACGACTTTATATGGATAGTTGCTATTTGTTTTCTGCTTTGAATAATCGATACGTTTTGTTTCTTTGTTTTTTAATTGTAACCGAATTAATTTTTAATGTTACCGCAATGCTATTAAAACATGTACCGTAACTTCTATTTTTTTCACAATGTAAATTTCAACTTAAAAACTCATATTATAATTAGATATAAAATTTTTCTAATAAATAATTATTTTCTTCAGGAGATTTCATACAAAAACTCCACGATAATGGATTCAAAACAGACATCAAATGCTTTCCAGAAGGTCCTTATTCAACACATGTTAATATATTTTTTATGTTTCCACCCGAAGAAATGTATTTTTATATAAGTATTGATAATTCAACTGTCACCATTGTCGAAGATAAAGTGATAAAATTTGTGAGCTTTAATTAATATTTATTTATTCTTTTTCTAGTTAATTAATTACATTTAAACAGTTTAAAATTAATAATTATATTATTTTATTTAGTGTCGAGCTGACGATATCGATGATTGTGAAGCATACGGATATAATAAAAATTACAAGAGAACAACTTTAAAAGGAAAAACGTTACCTATATTAGCTCGTCAAGTATTCTATATTTATTTTTCTATTTATTCAACTAGATTTCATTGATAAATTATCTAGTTTATATATCGAATATCATTATTTAAATAATGTACAGTCGACCCCCCTATAACACTTGATTTTTCCGTTTTATATGAATTCCGTGTTGTACGAGTCACTTAGATTTTACAAATATGTGTGCCAGGCTGTGAACGACTCACGTATTTGTAAAATCTAAGTGACTCGTACAACACGAAATTCATATAAAACGGAAAAATCAAGTGTTATAGGGGGGTCGACTGTACATTATTTAAATAATGATATTCGATATATAAACTAGATAATTTATCAATGAAATCTAGTTGAATAAATAGAAAAATAAATATAGAATACTTGACGAGCTAATATAGGTAACGTTTTTCCTTTTAAAGTTGTTCTCTTGTAATTTTTATTATATCCGTATGCTTCACAATCATCGATATCGTCAGCTCGACACTAAATAAAATAATATAATTATTAATTTTAAACTGTTTAAATGTAATTAATTAACTAGAAAAAGAATAAATAAATATTAATTAAAGCTCACAAATTTTATCACTTTATCTTCGACAATGGTGACAGTTGAATTATCAATACTTATATAAAAATACATTTCTTCGGGTGGAAACATAAAAAATATATTAACATGTGTTGAATAAGGACCTTCTGGAAAGCATTTGATGTCTGTTTTGAATCCATTATCGTGGAGTTTTTGTATGAAATCTCCTGAAGAAAATAATTATTTATTAGAAAAATTTTATATCTAATTATAATATGAGTTTTTAAGTTGAAATTTACATTGTGAAAAAAATAGAAGTTACGGTACATGTTTTAATAGTATTGCGGTAACATTAAAAATTAATTCGGTTACAATTAAAAAACAAAGAAACAAAACGTATCGATTATTCAAAGCAGAAAACAAATAGCAACTATCCATATAAAGTCGTTCATTTTTTTTATAACTTTTATGAATTTATATNCGGCAAATGATCAAAAGAGGAGGAAAATGAATGAAAAGAACAGGAAGGAACTAATTGGAGGAAAAACACTTAGAAAAAGTTTGACGAAAGTTTAGAAAAGTGGGAAGAAAGTTTAACATTTCAGACGGGCATATTCGTGTTGATGTGAAGAAATGTCAAGTGATTTTCAAGAAGGGAATGTCTGCTCCTAAATACACGACGAAGGAACTTGTTATACAAAAACCCTTCCGTGGAAGCTGCGTGATAGTGTCTCGAACATCAAACACACTTGATGTGGTTATGGACAACGTGTCCTATTTCAGTTTCGACGGAAGTGAATAGGATGGTAACAATGACTGTTTACCAAAGAAGGGCTAGATGTGGATCCCGAAATCACGATACTTCAAGTTTTCGCCGAAGCTTCTGGTTTGGCTAATAATTAGTCCAAAGGGGTGTTCACAGACCATTACAGACCAATGAAGAGGGTTAAGACTAAAGTTTAAATTGCAATCTATCGGGGTCCTGATCATCTCATCTAAACGTTAAACAACCTGTTTTTTAAAAAAAACTTTATTTTAAAATAAATAATGAATTTTAAACAACTTTAATCGCTGTTCAAAAACCACTTCAACTTGATTAGTTGAAGACAGCGCTGGAACGGTGAAGGTCACTATCTAATGTTCGATTAAGAAATTAAATCTTTTGTAGGTATTTCACCGAATCATCTAGTTTAAATTTAAATTTATAAATGGTTTCTCGAACCCAGCATATTTGTATGTTTGTATAATTGGTATCCAATGCCAGTTACTTCTCACAAGATACTTATACATGGTCCAGAAATAATACAACACTTTTTGCTTCCAATTGGACAGAGGTCTGAAGAAGCACATAAAAAAGTTCGTCTAGAACACGCAAGAAAAGTGTCAAGAATCCAAACAAATAAAGATTTACTACATAATCTTTTGATAATATCAGACTCATTAATTACATCTACAAGAAGAAAACAATAAAAGCACACAAGAGTAGTTATTAATCATGAAGTAATGAAACTACTACAGGCTCCAAATATCTAAATAACAACAGCAACAAATACAAGAAAAAATGGTAATGATTTTCTTTTGTAGTGAGGCTACCGATTCTGAAATAGAAGAAATAATAGTTATAGTATGTAATGTATAAAATTACGTAAGAAATTAATAAAACTAGTCATTATATACTGTGCAATGTTACCTATAAATATGCCTATGTATTCATAATTCCGAAATAAAATATTTTGATAAAGCGTAATAATGAATAATATAACATATTTTACTTATCAAATAAATTTATTTTCAGGAAATAGGTTTGGAAATTCCAGTTGTACGGAAACCGAAAAACGAAATTGGTTCATTGTCTTCACCCGCAATAACAGATACTCCACCCATATTCGTCATTAGAGCTGCACAACCTTTAGACAAATCAGCAGCATTTATCAAGCCTTTTTCAGTAACGGTAAATACAGAATTTTTATTCCAAATATTCTTATCGGAGAGGGAGAACTAACAGAGTACAATCTCGGTAATCCCATAGGGTAACAGCGAAATATTTAGTGGACGATACAGCATTTTTAATTGGATAAATTAACTTTAGTAATTACTATATTACAGTTAATACACTTAAATACATAATATAGAATTGATAGAAACTACACTGTTTTAATTAAATCAGTACCCAAAGTTGGATTCACCACATTAACATAAGAAACTTCATCCAGAAAATTTCGTAGTTACTTTCATACATACATAATTGCAGAAATTATTAAAATCTATTAAGCAACAATACATGTAAATTACAAAAGTAAGATTTTAGAAATATAGTTTTGATTTAATAAAACAATAAATAACAAAGTAATTTTTTGTATTTTTCAGGTATGGTTGGGTATTGCTGTGAGTTTACCTGTGATCACCATATTTTTATTTAGTCTCTCGAGACTGGAAGGAAAATTAAAAAATAAGAAAGTTCCGAGAACTTCAAGGATAATATGGTTAACAATAGACAGCCTTTTAAGACAAGGTTAGATTAAGATTGCTACGTATGTATGAACATTGGAACTACAAGGGGCGTTCAAAAAGTTCCCGGAAAATGTAAATAGAAAGACAGAAAATTGAATTTAGCGCTTTATTTTTTTAAACGTATGTTCCATTTAAGTTAAAATATTTTTCCATATGATGTCGCCATCCTTATAAGCCCTTCTGGAAAAATCACTGCTTCTTGATTCTAGCCACTGCACTGCACGACGTTTCACTCCAGTGACCATCAGTGACCGAATGAATAAAACCACTGAACACTGGTAGTTGTTCGTGCCTGGTCAACGGGCTGGCCACGTGGAGTTTTCACGGTTTTCTTCACGTTTATATTACCTAAAAACTGGCTAGTTTTTCATGGAAAATCCTCCCAGTAAGCATCCCGGTCGTATATTCTAATATACCAAACAAAACGTTTCGCTTGATCTATCAACTGCCAGCGAATATCATTAATATCTCTCTTTTTGTTTTGTTTTAATTTGGGAATAAAAATGTCTGATGAGGCTAGAGATGAATGCTGATAAAATAAATCTCAAAAAGTATATGCCGGAATCAAATAATTATAAATATAGCATTCTGTTTACGAATAATAACTATTTTCAAAGAACTTTTTGAACACCCACGTTTTTATATTTAAAAGTGAAAATAAAATGACGATTACTAACATAAAGATATAATTAGAATGATTGAATTTTGTTATTTACTTATAACCATACGGTAAATCCCATTAGGCATGCAATCAGATAAATTAGGAAGTTTTTCATAGGATTCTGAAGCAACAATTCAGCGTAGGCATACATAAATTCGTAAAGTATCTATTCGTTTTATATTTTTCAGTTTTTTCGTATTGTTTTTAACAATACATTAATATAGTTTATACAGATAAGTGTCATTGAAAAGTTTTACAATAAAAATTTGATACATTTGCATTATAATTGTTTTTGAAACTGTAATTCCAAATAGCAAATACGCTGATTATTAATCAGACTTATTGTTTTCAAATAAAATAGAAATAAGTGTATTTTTTTAAATTTTTATTATGAAACAACTATAGAGAAAGGTTTAGAAGTTGAACATGAGTACATGTCTGCATAACCTAATGAGTTATTAAGTTTAAACTTTTAACCTCAATTATAAATTAACAAAACACTTTAAATGTTTAGAAACTAATTGATGAAATATTATGTTCATAAATAAATGTATGTCTGACCGATCTGTAATGGCTCATAGCGGTATCATTTAATCATTTCCAGACTGTAAGATATATTTTCCGACTGAAATTATGATATTTGCCTTTTGCAGAGATAACCTATCAGTAGTATAGGAATGATGCATTCTGGGGTATAAAAATTAATTAGTATTAATTAGTATATAAATTTAATATTAAAAATTTTTTTAGTATATAAATTTAATATTAAAAAATTTTTTTTGAATTATATCGAAATAAAGACCGATACAGTATAGATTATATTTCATTTGTATAAGAATTTAATAAACAAAACGATAACACAACTGTTAAAACTTCGACTGAGTTTATAAAAAAACGATTTGCTCTTAAAAAAAATATGATTGGCCGTTAGTTTTTAATGAACATGTGATTGGTGAGTATTTTATATAAGTTACTTTTTTAAAGAGAATTAGTTTTATATTTAAGCTGCAATCATGGGGATGTACAGTTTTCTGGTTACTTACGGAGACTATAAAATATACTCATCTTCTTCAATTCTGTACCGTACTTTGGACGCTTGCGTTTCTGCGGTAAAAAATTTCTTGTTCGATGTTCCCGATAATTTTCCATTTATCCTCCGCTATTTCAAAGTCAAAGATATTTGGAAAGGAGAAGGAAAATACGGTTTTATAATTGTTGGCGAGGATGGAAGAATTAACGAAGTATGTAATGGATTATACGGTTCGTTCGAAGGGTGTGCGGAAGATATGAGAGAAATATGTTTAGAAAATGATAAGAAAACTTTAGTAGTGTTTAAAGAGATAAGTCCAGGAATGAAATATTATAAATTTTCTAAATTTTCTAAGGGTGACAAAGTTGATTAATATGTATTTCAAACATCCTAGTACTTGAGTAATTGCCGGTCCTTCCCAATCTGGAAAAACCACATTGGTGAGGAAAATGATTTACAACAAAATTTATGAAAATCCTCCAAAGAAGATTTTATGGTGTTACTCCGTATATTTACCGTTTTTTCAAGAAGAAAAGGATATTGCATTTATGTACGGCTTACCCGAATCTGTTCAAGGATGGGATTTGATAATAATCGATGATCTGATGCACGACCTGGTTCCAAAAACAGATTTTTGTTTACGACAGAATCTCATCACTGTAATGTAAGTGTGGTTTTAATAATGCAAAATTTGTTTCCGAAAAATAAGATTATGAGAGATATAAGTTTAAATACACATTATTTGATTTTATTTAAAAATAATCGTGATGAGAGTCAGGTGAATTGTTTAGGTCGCCAAGCTTTTGCGGGAAAATTTAATTTTTTCATGGATGCATATAAAAAAGCGACAGAAAAGGAATTTGGTTATTTGCTATTAAATTTTCATCCTAAAACAGATAAGAAATTTTCTGTGAGAGATTCTTGTTTTCCAGACGAACGAGGTATTTTTTGGATTTACTTACCGATAAAATGAAAAACGTAAAGAAAAATTATCATATGCAGCGCTTTTAGTGAAGACTACTCCTTCACAATGGAAAGCAATATTGAAAGAAGCTACTCCCAATCAAGTTAAAGTGTTGTGTGAAATATGCGATAATTTGCGGAGAGGAAATATACCCACTGATGTTCGTAAAATACGAAAATATAAAAAAAAATTATCAGGAAATTAAGCGAAAAACGCGTTCCTTTAAATACCAAGAAAAAAATTTTGGTTAATCAATCTGGTGGATTTCATTCCTCTTCTACTGGCACCGTTATTGTCCATGGCAGGAGGGTTAATCGGTAAAGTAATAGGAAAAAAAATCTAATAGCGAAGCAGATGGCCTTAGTTCCTCACGAATTAGTGATGAGTTATCAAAAGCCTGAAATAAGAATTGGTTCTAATATCGAAGAATTACTAGAGAGTACAAATTTACCTGATGACGATAAAGTCAACTTATTAAGTCAATTGATTTCGAGATATCAGAGAACAGTTCACGCTCCTAAAGAACCTGTCAGAGTATCAGTTGTATCTAACCAAAATGAAGAAACAGAATCTCAACCAAAAGAAAAGACTGATGATGATGATGACGGATTTATGAAACAAATAATTTTATCGGTACCTCAATTATATCAAAAATATATACCTCATTTAATCGCTAAGTTGGATCGAAGTCATTACGGATGGAATTCTAAAGGTGAATTAACAATCGATGGAAAACCTGTTATCGGGAGTCATATAGTAGACTTAGTTTCGTATGTAATGAGAAATAGGAAAACTGCATTACCTCCCGTTGGTTTCAAAAACTTTTTTGATGGCTTAAAGAAAATAAATATTCCTAAAGAGTGGATCGGAAACAAAAGTTTGGCGACATCACCGGAAAAAATATTCGATCAATCAACATCGGTCAAAAACTGCCGAAGAAATTTTCTCTCATCAGTCGAAAAAATCTAAGAGGAAGAGGAAGAAAAATCTCGAATGGAAAAACTTTTGAAATCGATATACTATAATCCTAAATCTCCAGCGTCTTTTGGTAATGTGAGTAAATTAGTTAAAGAATCAAATTTGCCGCGATCTGTTGTTAAAAAATGGCTGTCTTCTCAAGTAACTTATACGCTTCATAAACCTGTAAGAATTAAATATTCGCGACGAAAAACTATAAGTTTTTATCCTAACGA